AATAAAGATAAAATAACTAAAAAGTAATTAACTAAGAAAAAATTGATGTTTACACAATCAATGAATGAATCGATCTAGGATTATGATTTAACTAACAATCATGCTTAGCATCAATTTCATCAACTTATTTTATTATCTAGTTATTGATTCACGGGGTTGATAATATAGTCATGATCTCCCGACCTCTAACCGTCTACCACAATTGACAGTCTAACTACATCGTTGAGCGGGGATAGACTGAACCAACTATGGAGCATTACGTTGTCTTTCCGTATGAGCCAAGCAAGGTACCTAGGTATATCCCTATCCTAGACACAAATCAATTCAAGTGATATGCAAGAAAAGATTATGCTCCTTATATTCCACATTCTATCCCTCCATTCCTCTCCCAAGTTCAAGAGTAGACAATATATTTATCTCTATGATCAAGCATGGAAATAGTAACCACAAGACTAGAACAACCAATATGATAAACAATTATGCAGAATCAAAATTACTAAACAATCATTTTGTAAGAAAATATAATCCAAGAACGAGAAGTTTAACTCCACATAGATATAGAGCAATTACAACGAATTATTCCAAGAAAAGATGTAAAATAAATAAAAGAGAAGAAAAGATAAAACCCTAAATCAAAAATTATTTTCTATATTGTATCATCCTCCCTTAATAAATTAATAATTATTCTTATGGACTATTTATAAATATAGAAAACTCTGAATAAAATAATTGAGTCCAAAATAAATTAGGAACCCAAAACCTAAAAGGAATTTAATTCCGTGTGAAACAGTGTTGCGCTGCCATGGGTTGCTGCTGCCTTTACTGGTTGCCACGTGGCAGCAGTGTTATACTGAGTGAATTTCTCTTCGCTGCACTTATATATATATATATTATTATTATTATTATATTTAATTTAATCCATTAAGCTGCCTGTTTGATTTTCTTCTTTAACCTTCCATCTTTAATTGGTTTTAGCTCCAAACTTCTTCATTTTCCACCAATTTAATCCTACAAATAAAATATACTATAAAGCACAATCCATAAAATTCATACTCAAAAAGGACAAATATAAATACTAAATATGAGGCAAATAATGATTAAAAATATGTATTTTGGCCTCACATCAATGTTATCTAGAACTTGCTCCGTTGGTCCGATTGACTAATTTTGGTGAATGGAGGAAATGATCTTATGCATAAAAAATTTAGAGTGAACCTAATTGCTATACCTTTGTGTGACAACCTTGTGAGTGTGTGAACCTAGCTTGGCACCATTTGAGACTAACCTTTTTTTGGATGAAACATGAACGCAAATGACCTTATCCTCTCCACCTAAAACCTTCATGAAGCATTAGTTTGTTTGAATAGCCAACTTTGGCAAAAAGCCTAAGTCGGGAGTGTGGTAAGAATAAGGAAGAAAATAGAGCAAGAAGTTCATGAAAATTCCTCCTTGAAGGAATGTGTATAAAAATGATGGAACCTCTCCATTTAAAAAAAATGAAAAAAAAGCAAAGAAATGATAAAATTTGAAGTGTGTAATGTTGTGGAAATAAAAGGGGTGTCTAATAATCGATACCAAAAATTTCGTGTGCTTTGAATATGCCAAGGATGAGCTGTGAAGGTGAAAAGAATGAAAGAAAAGGAGAACAAGTGAAATTTGAGCCATGCTTCGTGAAGGTAGAAGCCACTAAGCCAAAATGATCATACTCGTACCCTCAGCCCAATTACAAGCCTTGAAAGACCTTTTTGATCTTGCATGAGCCGAATGATGTGTTGGTTGGAAAATATGGGAAGGCCTATGGGTAAAATCGTGCACGTTTTTCTCATTGGGAGTGTGAGAATTGATTTTGATTCCTTAATCGTAATCTTTGATTGGCTTTGTGAAAGCGTGAAATCATTGTTGATGTGAAGACATTTGAACACTCTTGTTGAGCATGCAGTTGCATTTGAAGTGAGCATTGCGAGCTTGAACTCTATTTGATGAGTGTTAGTCATGGTTTGAAACTTTCAGTGCACAATTGAACAGTGCATGTGTAGATTGAACCTTGTGTGCATTCATGTTGAGTCCCAAGAGCACTACTTGTAGACATCCATATTGGCCTGATCAATCTTTTGTTTTACTTGAGGATAAACAAAAGTTTAAGTTGGGGGTGTTTATGAGTCGGGAAGTTCAACTCATTTAGGAATTATTATTCAATGAACTAGTGTCCTCAAGGCCTATTTTGTGCTCATAACTGATGTTAATGTGTTTATATGTATCAATGAAGGCTTAAGAACAATGCAAGGTCATTATGTTGCGAAAAGGAGCGAAAAAGTTAGAAAAGCTGAAGAAAAGAAAAGATGGAGCTCGCAAAAGCCACTCGACGACTTGCCAAGTAAGCCTCCAGCTCGACAAAATTTCCAGCGAAGTAGCCCATGTACAAAGCCAACTTGGCGAGCAAAAGAAGATTCATTGATGTGCCGAATGGATCGGTGATCATGACCCGACTCGCCTAATATTCCAGAACAATTGGATGCAGGAGCCAAGACAATAAGGCGAGAAGAAGTGCAACTCGACGGATCGCCGAGTCAATCGGTGATCCCGACTAGCTTCACCGAGTGGATTCCATGCTGAGTTTTTGGGAACGTATAAATTCATTTTTCGGTATCATCGATCGACTCGACGATCTACCGAGTTGCACTTCTTCTCAGCTTATTGTCACTACAAGAAAAACAGTCTCTAAGGAAGGGAAATCTGGTCCTAGAATGTCCAAATCTGGTCCCAAATTGTCTTTTGAGACGGGAAAAGGCTGGTCGCCACCCGTCCTAAAATGCTTCTTCGCTAAAGGTTAATTGGGACGGGTTCCATTAACTGGTCGCTAAATGTGCTTAGGGACGGAATCAAAGCTGGTCACCAAAGTACTTTTAAAGACTACATATCTCGTCCCAAATAGATGATTTTCTTCCTTAAAAACTAGTCATTTTCTGGTCACTAAACCCTGTAGAGACTAGAAACTAACTCGTCCTAGATTACTCTTTAGGGACGATCAACTACCCCATCCTAGATTACTTTTTCTTGACAAGCAACCACGTCGTCCTAGATTGTTTTTCGAGACAAGCAACACCTCGTCCTAGATGAGCCTCTAGGGACAAGAAGTTGTCTCATCCTAGATGAAACTTTTAGAGACAAGAAACTATCTCATCTTAGATGAACTTTTAGAGACGAGCAAAAATTTTGGTCTCTAATTGTCCACCATTGATTCTGGATCCTCATTTCACAAAAGTATTATAAGTTCTACCAATAAATATAAGATTGCTATGGTAAATCTCTAGAGAAAAGGCTGATATAAATATAAAAATAGGTAAATATCCCATGGTGTTAGTTTCAATATTTGTTTGACAAAAAAAATCTTAGCAAATTAACAATATCCCGAGCTAGACTATGATTTCATGTCTTGCACAACTTTCCTAGCAAAATAATAATGGTCGTGTGCATCTTCTAAACTTGCATCTTGACTTGAGCTTCATTCTTCACAAAAGAACTCTAAAATTAACCAAGGGATATCCAGAATATCAACAAGCTGCAACAACATAAGAAAAATTGATTAAGAAAACTTTGATGAGATGCATTCACCAAGAATCCAAATCTATACCGAAAGCACAAATTCAGTGACATAAGCTAGCACAAATGGAGAAATTCTCCACCAAGAAGATTTATATTAGGTTTTAGGGGAAAGAAGTTGTTGCAGAGTAACTAAACACGTATGATGTATATCACTGTTTCAGCTATAAACCAGTAGGTTATTATTGTAGCAGGGGAAACAAACAAGTTATCACTTTTTTCTTCTCATCATTAATCCTTGTAGAAGCCAAACAATCTCAAACTGTGTGCCTGCAATTGTACGTGTAGAAAATTAAAAAATAGAGATAAAGAAGGCAATGATCTGTTAAGCAATTCTAATGATACAGGTTTAGCTAGTTACTTGATCCTCTAAACCAGATGAAGGTGCAACTCAAATCTCTGTTTTGCTAGACTTTATGCTGAGATATTCTGTATATGGATGGAAAACATGATGTACAACAGCAAAAGATATCAAAAAATTATCTTAATAACCCTGAGAGTGATGTCAAAGTTCTTCTTGCATCGATAAAGGCCTATTCATAAAGGATAAGTCTTATAGGGGGAGAGACATTTTGTATATGGCTAGGATGTTGTTACTTTGAGGCTACAATGCGTTGTTACTTCTTTCCTGCCATTTATATCTTGTATTCTTATTCTTAGTGGACAAAGCAGAACTTATATATGGTTGAGTGTCTATACGGGTCGAGAGATTTTGTATATGGTCAAGTGTAATGGTTCTATAACTTATATATGCTAGCACACAAGAAGCAACAATTTCCAAGACATCTAAAAGGCTAAAACTGAATGCGTATCTGTTTTTCAATTTTTTTCTAGAGAAGAAACGACACAAACATTAAAATAACTCGGAACAACTGAAGCATTTCATATGTGGTATCTATTACTACGGTTGTAGCTGCTAAACGGCTAAAACTCAATGCAAATCAGTTTCCAATTTCTGTCTAGAAAGAAACGACACAAACATGAAAATAACTCGAAACATAATGTATAAAACAACTCTGTTTATCAACAAATCAGCACTATCCCAGTCTTATGTATAAAGATTCATATATAGAATTATTGAATGTCTCATCCACTTCTTGATAAAATGTTAGGAAGAATCAACCTAACTTATGCAGGAAGGGAGTTAGTCATAGATTTTTGTCCTGCCAGCAAAAGTGATAAAGCTCACTAAACAAAACTAACTTATATAGGTGATCAAACAGCCACCAGCTAAGAGAAAAAATAAATCACCAACAAAGAACCTCAGAAGTGAAGAAATTCCTTTAAACACGATCAATCATCTAAGAGTTTAGCTATACACTAAATGCTTAAACGACTATCCGCAAATAGAACTTCTTAAACGTTTTATTTAGGAAAATTATTTTTCGATAATACCTGCTGATAAATAATCTCTCTAATAGGCTTGCTACCAATGTGATGAAACATCTTTAACATAGCTCAATTTTCTGCATTTCTATTGCTCCTCGCCTGTATTGGTACGTTAAAAAGCCATATCTAAGAAATATTACCAAGTTTAGAGATAGTTTCACATCTAAATATCACGATGAGTTGCAAAATGGATACTTGAAAGATATAGGCTATTAGATCTCTAGGTATACCTGAAAACTTTCAGAAGAAAAATGTTCCTTAACTAACCACTCCCATTTCTTCTTTTCTACTCCCTTTGGAATATTATTAAGAGCCTGAGCAATTGGCTTATTCTTCACATAAGTAGCATGCAAGTATCCTCTCCATTTGTTCCATAACTCATTCATCCATCCAAATATATGATCACGATGATCATTGAAGTCAACACTCTCAAATTTATCCTACAAAAGGAGAGTGAATATTGTGCGTCAACTATACAAAAACTATGTATAAAATTGAGAAAGAAAAATATGTGCAACAACGGTTAATGTTGGAAATATAAGAATAGTAAGTTCTAATTCATCAAGTTAAACACCAGATGGTAGTTACACCAATGTATCTTCTTAGTAGATATCCTTCTTTTTATCTTTTTGGTTAGTTGATTAGATTCATGTAATAATTAACAGAGCACAAAAAAGCTGAATATAAATATAATGATGATGTAATTCGTAATTGTACCTCAATAGCTGCCCACATGTGATCCAACTTTTGTTGCTTAATGTCCCTCCACGATGGTACTCCCAATGGACACATATTACAGTCACAAATTATTTTTCCCAGGTGCCTTGAAAACAGATTGCTATTTGTTCCAACTGTTCTATTATTGTAAAATGTTACTTTCAGCCTCTTTTCAGCTTCAAGTGATGCAACTTCTTTACACTTGTTGCTCCCTCGCACTCTTTTTACATTTCTTGGATTAGATGATCCTATAGTTTTATAATTTAGTAAGAACTGTAGCAATAAAATTTAGTTCAACAGATTGATAGTGAATGGATTTGTAAATTGTCATACATGTTTCAGTTGTTTGGGAGACTTGCATAACTTGATGAGTAGAACAAGGGGATTTGGGTTCCGTGTTCTCTTTCTCAAGGACCCAAAGAGAAGTGTCATTGTATCTACCTTCTATATATGGAATCACATGAAGTATAACTGTAAGAAGTCAGTTGCATCTTTAACCTTCTAAAAGTTAATTACAATATATTTTTATAAATTTTTGATAAATTTGTTGTGATTGAGTTTGATAGGAATGACCGAATATATGGTGCAACTATAAGAATGTATCTCTTGAAAGATATCAAGTTTGGTAAGTTTGAAACTCAAATGGAATTATCACTATTTCTACCTTCTATGTACAGCACCACATGAGGTAATTTGTATCAATTCTGTTGCTTTATACATCTTTTGTGAGTTCGAGTTAATTTTATTGTAAGAAAATATGATCGATTCCTTAGACACACACAAAACACTAAAATATGATCCATTTACAGTAGATAATAATTCAATGGTGCCTTTTGCAATTACTAATTTATTTTAGTTAGATAGAAATCTTTTTAAGAATTAGTTGCACGTGCCTATATATTTGGATCAGATTTAATAACTGAAGACACTTTACAGTGTGCTCTGTTAGTATTAAAAGGTAAACATTCGTTCACTTGTAATTCTGAATAGATTTCTTGAGTCGAATAAAAATTCATATATCTTCTCTCCGAACATTGTCTTAATGCATGACCTGTGAGTGCCTCTATTTAAGAGTAGTTCACTGTTTTGTTTCCTTAGGAACATTTGTTTCTCTTAGGATTGATCAACTTCGTTTTGGGATCTTATCATGCCACAAACTTTTACTTAATGTGTAGCACCACAAGAAGTCATTTACATTAGTTGTTTCAACCTTTAAAGAATTCAAGTTTCATCAGATGCAAACAAAGCTTTAAAGAATCAAAGTTTCATATGCAAACGAAGCTATCACTCTTTCAACCTTTAATGTGCAGCACCACAGGAAGTCATTTATATTAGTTCTATTGCTTTTGACATAGTTCATCAACTTCAGACCCAAACGAAACTGTAACTTAATTCTTTAAGGACTGATCCCCTTCTTTTTTGGGATCATATCACACTACAAAACTTAATGTTCTTTAAGAAAATGATCAGCAGCTAGCCTAACAGAACAAAAGTTCAAAAAAGAAGAGATATAACTCGAACAATACAAATAACAAACTGGCTTCACAGATGAAATCAAACAAGTAGTGTAACTCGAACAAATCAAATATATAGAAGAAGAAAAAATCAGGTCCCAAAAGAAGAGGCTTACATGAAACATGAACAAATCGAGAACAACTAGAGATTCAGTTTTACAAGAACGGAAAAAATATGGTGCTACTGCTAGAACATATCTTCTTGAAAATCTCGAGTTTTCCAAGTTTTGAATCCTATATGAAACTATCGTTATTTCTACCTACTATGTACACCATATACAAGAGGTAATTTGCATAAGTTATATGTCTTACTTCATCTTTCATTAGCTCGAGTGAATTTCATCGTAAAAATATGATCGATTCTTTAGGCACACACTATACATTATGCTATAAGAAGAAAACAATCAACAATTCGAATTTTTAGTAGAAAAAAAAACTAGCAAAAGAGGATGCATAGCTGAGATACAAGTAAACAGAAATCAGAGAACCAGATAGAAAAAGATGAAAGAATGCTTTAAACGAAAATGTAACTTAATGTGCAGCACCACAGGAAGTCATTTACATTAGTTCTTTCAGCCTTTCAACCTCTAAAGAGTCCAAGTTTCATCAGATGCAAACGAAGCTTTGAAGAATCCAAGTTTCAGATGCAAATGAAGCTCTAAAGAATCAAAGTTTCAGATGCAAACAAAGCTATCACTCTTTCAACCTTTAATGTGCAGCACCACAGGAAGTCATTTATATTAGTTCTATTGCTTTTGACATAGTTCATCAACTTCAGACTCAAACAAAACTGTAACTTAATTCTTTAAGGACTGATCCTCTTTATTTTTGGGATCATATCACACTACAAAACTTAATGTTCTTTAAGAAAACGATCAGCAGCTAGTCTAACAAAACAATAGTTCAAAAACGAAGAGATATAAATCAAACAATACAAACAACAAACTGACTTCACAGATGAAATCAAACAAGTAGTGTAACTCAAACAAATCAAATATATAGAAGAAGAAAAAAGCAGGTCCCAAAAGAGGAGGCTTACGTGAAACTTGAACAAATAGATAACAACTAGTGATTCAGTTTTACAAGAATGGAAAAAATATGGTGGTACTGCTAGAACATATCTTCTTGAAAATCTCAAGTTTTCCATGTTTTGAAACCTAAATGAAACTATCGTTGTTTCTACCTACTATGTACATCATATACAAGAGGTAATTTACATAAGTTTTATGTCATACTTCATCTTTCATTAGCTTGAATGAATTTCATCGTAAAAATATGATCAATTCTTTAGGCACACACTATACACTATGCTATAGGAAGAAAACAATCAACAATTAAAATTTTGAGCAGAAAAAAAAAACTTGCAAAAGAGGATGCGTAGCTGAGATACAAGTAGAGAGAAATCAGAGAACTAGCTAGAAAAAGAGGAAAGAATGCTTTAAACGAAACTATAACTTAATGTGCAGCACCACAGGAAGTCATTTACATTAGTTCTTTCAACCTTTAAACCTTTAAAGAGTCCAAGTTTCATCAGATGCAAACGAAGCTTTAAAGAACCCAAGTTTCAGATGCAAACGAAGTTATCACTCTTTCAACCTTTAATGTGCAGCACCACATGAGGTAATTTACATTAGTTCTATTGCGTTTTACATAGTTCATCAGCTTCAGACCCAAACAAAATTGTAACGTAATTCATTAAGGACTGATCCCCTTCATTTTTTGGATCATATCACACTACAAAACTTCATGTTCTTTAAGAAAACAATCGGCAGCTAGTCTAACAGAACAAGAGTTTAAAAAAGAAGAGATATAACTCGAACAATACAAAAAACTAATCGACTTCACAGATGAAATCAAATCAACTCATAGAAGTGGAGGAATACCTGAGATTCGAGTGAATAGAAGATAGTGATTGAGTGAAGATCACTGCTGCGCAGACCTCTGCTTTCTCTGTTCTGAGAAAACACAGACCTATATTGTGTTTCTTGCTAGGTAAACCAGTGCGTTTCCAAAAATCGTTGTAAGGGAAGATTGTTGTTAGGGAAGATCATTGCTAGGGTTTTTGATTTCACGATCACTTTTTTTCTTTTACTTTTAGAATTTTGATCTATCAGTATTACTGATCTTTTAGGCGCCTAATTTTGGTGAAAAAAGATGTTTTTTTTATACATTTCAGTTCCCGCCTTTCAATATATATTTCTCAAGACCCCTAAATTTTGATTTGGGACCAGTTACTACTTTTTCTAGAGACCAAATTTAGTACCTTCACAAAAACATACATAATTAAAGACCAAAATAAAATCTCGTCCCAATACATCTACTTTTAGAGACGGGATTATTGACTCGTCCATAAATATTGGTCTTAAATAAAGCTTTTTCTTGTAGTGTGTCTTGGTTCCTGCATCAAATTGTTCTAGAAGATTAGGCGAGCTGGGTCGTGATCACTGATCCATTCGACACGCCGAATCATCTTTTGCTCGCCAAGTTGGCCTGGTACATGAGCTACTTCACTGGAAATTTTGGCGAGCAGGAGGCTCACGCGAAAAGTCGTTGAGTGGCTTTTGCGAGCTCCAACTTCTTATTTCTTCAGGTTTTCCAACTTTTTCGATCCTTTTCACAACATAATGGCCTTGTCTTGTTTTTAAGCCTTCATTGTTGCTTATAAACACATTAACATCACTTATGAGCACAAAATAGGCATTGAGGACACTAATTCATTGAATAATAAGCCCTAAATGAGTCGAACTTCCCGACTCATCAACACTCCCAACTTAAACATTTGCTTGTCCTCAAGTAAAACCCAATCGATTAGGACAACATGAATGTCTACAAGTAGTGTGTATTTCTAAGTTTTTGAGTGTGTATTCCCGACTAATAAAGTGTGTATTCCCCAAATTTTGAGAGCTTTTACATTTTTTACATTGTTGAACACCTTGGAGAACATTTGGATCTCGAATTTGAGGTTTTAGGATTCTAGCTTTAATTCGGGCATTGAGTATTGCAGATTTTTAACAATTTGGATGGACAATCTTTTTGGTAACGATTTCTCACTTTTTGCTATGTTTGGCTAAAAATCCTTATCTAAGGGGTGTGATCATGTAGTCGAATGCATTAATTAGCTTATGGATGTTAATTGCTGAATTTAATGTTGTTTGGAAATGGGTTCAATTGTTTTTTCGTGTTTTAATTGATGAACTGAAGTTGCAAATTCGGTTCTAGCTTAGCTCTCTATGCTTGCTTGAGAAAGAGGTATTAGAGTAAAATTAATGATTGATAGTGTAACACCCCAGAAACTAGTAAGCTAAACTAGAGCTTGACGTGAGGGTTAGAGTCATGAATGTACCTCCCCGTACCTAAAAATATAGGGTTTCGTGTTAGAACGTCAAGGTATGACCCCAAGGACCAACCAAGGGTCCTTGAGGAAGACCCTAGAACTGCCCAAAACAGTGCAACCCACGAGGCCATCCATGCCCCGTGGATGGAACCACGCCCGTAAGTGGGCAGCGTGGGTGAGCCCTTCCTGAAATCTGCCTAGGGCAGTAACCACGGGCAGGACCCACGCCTCGTGGATGGGTCCACGCCATGTGGTTGGCTTTGTGGGTCAAGGGCCCAAATGAAGACCCACAGACCACAACTCATGATTGACCACCACACCCCATGGGTCCAGCCACGACCCGTGGGCGTGGTCTTGTGGGTGAGGCAATGTGTTGGTCTTAGGCGGTTAAGTGAGGGGTAAGTGGAACTTTTCGAAATTAATTAGGGATTAAGTGGTGTCATTTTACCCTAATTTAGACCACCTATATAAATACTTTAGACCCTTAATTAAGTCATTCCAAATCATTGTTTCTAAATCCCCAGAAGAAACCCAATTCCCTCTCAAAAATCCTCTCATAAGAGGAAGAGGAAGAGGAAGAACAGGAAGAAGAAGAGGAAGAAAAAGAAGAAGAAGAACTGTATCTACATGATATCCTCAAAAATACATCGGACCCATGGGGGACTCGCGAGTTCCATATACCGAAGAAGAAGAAGAAGAACTGCATATCCATGATATCCTCGGAAATACATCGGACCCATGGCGGACTCGCAAGTTCCATATACCGACACGAACGATCTCCACGTGTCTGTGCAGACAATCTCAACGCACTATCATAAAATCTAACTCGCGAGTTCCATATACCGATACGGACGATCTCCACGTGTCTGTGCGGGACGATATCAACGCACTATCATAAAATCTAACAATTTCTGCACGGACGATCTCCACGTACTCAAATTATAATCTTAACATCTCACAATCCCCGGCACGGATGATCTCCACGTACCTAACTTATACTCAGTCTCATGTCAATACATGTGCACAATATAATATCAATGAAAAAGGATGATGATGCATCTCAATCAATCAAATATCAATATGATATGTAATCACCTCAGCTATAACAAATTTACGGGTCCAAAAAAAAACACAATCACACAGAAGAAATCAACAATACATCAGCTAATGTCCATGTTCTTTGGCATTCCCGAATTACAATCCACATTCTATAGTGATAAGCTTTCCCTTTATAACACCACTACTCGTACCATTGCCCATCACACCATTGGTACAAGACCCTATCTTTCGCCCTTACTCATGGTCTATTTCATTTTTAATCTTTAAATAGAAAAATGTCCTTCAACGAAGTCTGAAAGTCTTAACATACCTTGAATGTCGAACACGTGCCACAAATCCTCAAGATTTTTCCTTCCCCTTTCGCAAAGCTTTCGAACGTTTTGAATCTATCAAATATGAAATATTCTTAAACAAATGAGTCTATAGACACCCATATTAATATATGTCTAGCCTAGACCCAAACTTACACTAATCGATAATCAAACTCCTAATTTTGGTGTCAACTGATATGTCAAACACATATTTGTTAAATTTCAAGGCTAGAGTTAAGCCCCAAATATCATGAATCTAATGATATTCATATAATACAATACCACCAAAAATTTGTTACCTATATCCACATATTAAAACTTCAAATAGTAATAACTATATGAAAATTCAAAATTTTAAGCCAATAGCTACTCACGTGTAACCTTACCCACGAAATAAGATAAAATAATAACTAATGGAACTATATACATGTTTCATTTATGCAGACATCCTTCTCTGTCAATGATTATCCCCACACTCACTCATTATATCCTAATTATTAAATTATCATTACCTAAATATTACCCTTACATTCAACTATCACAAGTCCTCAATTTATTCCTCCACTCGTGACATCGTAGTTAGAGAAAACAATTTCAATTCCTTGTCCACCCAATTTAAATAGAACGCCATATATTTCATATACATAGCAAGCTATAGAAAAATTAAGAATGTGCACTAATTTTTTGCTTACCTGAAGTTCGAAGTATGGTTTTATTTTGTTTTCTCTTCTTCTCTCGTTCGTCTGCAGAGGGAAGTTTTCTGCCACAATTCTTTTCCTTTTTCAAATAAACTAATTAGGTATTTAAAGTGGCAAAACCCACTAACTTAATTTAATTTTATGGGCCAAGTGGTAAAGGGTATAGGATAGATTTCAGACTTGGCCCATTACTTTCTAATTAAATTAATAATTAAAAAATTTCTGACAATTAAATAAGCGTAGTTACTGAATTGTTCAAAATTTTCATCTAAAATTTTACGGGAAGAGTCAAAATAGTCCAAATTCTCAAAATGACCTAACGGGTTATTACATGGGCCAAGTGGTATAAGGTATTAAATAAATATTAGACTTGACCCATTAACTTAGTTATTATTGTATCGTTGGAGTTCTTACTTTCAATGTAATATAATATAAATAAATATTGATATAAAATATAGAATATTTACTAAATTGGATGTTTTTAGTCAGAGTATTATATTAATTTGGCAGAATGACTTGAGAGACCCTTATACTTTGTTCTGTTTGTAAGTTGGACCCTTATACTTACAATTTTGTCAACTAAACCTTTTAACTCACTGAAACACAATATTTTAAACTCTTTCCTCATCCTATGTGTGTGCGTGTGGTACACTCATTTACAGGTAGAATTCCACGTCATTTTTAATGACACACAATAAATTAAATATTAAACAAATAAAATAAAAATAAAAAGAGTACTTCTGCATATGCTAGAAATTTTGAACATTATTTTCTCCATTTTTGCTCTCAAATTGAGCACCAAATTCATGTTAAATTGGTGGAATTCTTAACTATTTGACTTGAATTTTACACTATATTGTTCACAAACATAAACCCAACAAATCTCTATACAATTTCAAATTTATTTCATAAATTCACAAAACCCATTTATTATTCTTGAAGCTTCATCAAGCTTATCAATGAAGTTTTTCATTTTTCAATACCCACTATCACCAAAGACTACGCATGAAATCGAAATTTTTAAAAAGAATGAATTTTGAGAAAATATTTAGGGGTGAGACAGTGTGCGGGGTGTTAAGAAGAAGAAGGGAAATGGTGGGTGAATCCAAAGAGAGAAGGAAAGAAGTGGAATGGGTTTAAGAAATTTGGTTGGGGGGTTGGTTGGGGGGGGGGCAGCAGCGACAGGCTGCTTGAAGAAGATAACTGCCTTTATGTTTTTTTTGGTGTTTTTCATTTATTTATTTTTAAAAAATTTAATTGTTTTTTTCATATAAATTTCAGACACTTTCTTTAAAACGCGTGGAACCACGCATCATTCCAAGTCAGCAATATTAATGTCACATGTGTTCAATCAATGGTCAGAGGTGTTTAATAATTGTGTTTCAGCGAGTTTAAGGGTTCGATTGACAAAGTCGTAAGTATAAGGGTCCAACATACAAACGGAGCCAAGTACAAGGGTCTCCCAGACCATTCCGCCTATTAATTTGAACATTCATGTTAGGAAGTGATCAAGTTTCAGTGAACTTTGAAATTGTCAACGTCTGTAAATCAAACTTGAGTTTTTTTTAAGAGAAGAATATAAACATAAAAAAAATTGTAGTTTAAAAATGTGAGGAAACTCCTCTATTTATAGTTAACAATGGGTAGTATGAGCATACACATATTGTTTCTTATCATAAAAGTTACAACCTTTCGAAAAGGTCACAACTCATTGAAAAAGTTACAAGTCTTTGGAAAAGTTGTAACCATTCAATGTAAAATGGTGTCTTCTTTTAATATAATAGAAAATATACTATATTGAGTGTTTTAAGAAGAAGAACAATGAAAAGCATTAAAAAAATTGTAGTTAAAAAATTTGAGGAAATCCCTCTTTTTATAGCCAACAAAGAAAAATGCTTATTGTGCCTTATCAAAAAAAAAATGGTCACAACTCATCGAAAATTCATAACTCTTTGGAAAGTCACAACCCCTTCAAAAAAGTCACAACTCTTCGGAAAAGTCACAACCTTGTAGAAAAGTCACAACCCTTGAAAATGTCACAACTCATCGGAAAAATTATAAATCTTTGGAAATTTCACAACCCTTAAATGTGAAAATGTGTGTGCTTTTAATATAATATCTATACTACCTTAAAAGTATGAACTCCTAAAATGAATGTTGAATTACTATAATACCCCTAATTAAAAATACTCAATTTGTTTTATTTATTAATTTAATTATTTGTATTATATTAAATGTAAATACCCTTTCATATTAAAAGGTTGCGATTTTCTCAAACAAATGTGACTTTTCCAAAGGGTTTCGACTTTTTGACGGGTTTTGACATTTTCGATGAGTTCTGACTTTTTCGAAAGGTTGTGATTTTTTCAAAGGGTTGTGACTTTTCTGAAGGGTTGTACCTTTTCCGATGAGACTTTTTTACGGGTTTTGACATTTTCGACAAGTTCTGACTTTTTCGAAAGGTTGTGATTTTTTCAAAGGGTTGTGACTTTTCCGAAGGGTTGTGCCTTTACAGATGAGTTGTGACTTTTGCAAAAGATTCTGATTTTTCCGATGAGCATTGACTTTTACAAAAGGTTGTAACTTTTCTGATAAGGAACAAGTAACACATATTAATACTACTATTTGTTAGCTATAAATAGAGGGTTTCCTCTCACTTTTAAACTACAGTTTTTTAAAGTTTTCTACTCTTCTTCTTCTTCTTAAAAAATCTCACAGTTATTTGTAACATTTGATGAAGTTCAAAATTCAACGAAATTTGAGGTACCACATAAGAAAGAGCTGGTGAACAAATTGTAGCAAATCATTCATAAATTCACACTCGTATTTTTTTTACGATTTTCATGAGTTAACAGTGACAAAATGTAGTGGTAAAGACAATAATAATAAATATTTCTTCTTTGGTTTTTTTTTTTTTTACCCTCAAATTAAGCAGTTTCTTTCTGATTTTGCTAAAACAAGGAGCATCAATGTAGTCCATTGAATCATTAGTTTTGATGCTAAATCCACTATTTAAAAAATAGATTTTCACTATTACCTATAATATGATAATATAGACATGATAATAATAAGTTTTTAATAGATATGTATGTAAAAATGAACGAAGAAAGTAAAGTAGTTGGTGACAAGAGGATTTTAATCAAATGGAACTCTATAGTGAATATAGCATGAACATATATTTTCTTCTTCCTTCTTCATTAGCTATGTATCGTTCCATATATTTTTTTTCCTATTATTTTCTGTTCATTTTAATTTGAGAAAATTTTATGTTTGACATTTTTGATGAGTTGTGACTTTTCCGACAGGTTGTGATTTTTTTCAAAGGGTTATGACTTTTCCGAAGGGTTGTGTCTTTTACGATGAGTTGTGACTTTTGCAAAAGGTTGTGATTTTTATGATGAGCAGTGACTTTTACAAAAGGTTGTAACTTTTCTTATAAGGAACAATTAGCACCTATTAATATTACTATTTGTTAGAAATAAATAGAGGGTTTCCTCTCACTTTTAAACTACAATTTTTTAAAATTTTCTACTCTTCTTCTTCTTCTTAAAAAATCCAAGGGTTATTTGTAACAGTTGATTAAGTTAAAAATTTAACGAAATTCAAGATACAAGATAAGAAAGAGTTGGTGAACAAATTGCAGCAAATCATTCATAAAGTCACCTCGTATATTTTCTTACGATTTTCATGAGTTAACAGTAACGAAATATTGTGGAAAAGACAATAATAATAAACAAATATAAATAAAGTCATATGATTTGTGTAAGATATTTCTTCTTTGATTTTTTATTTGTTTTTTTTACCCTCAAATGAAGCAGTTTCTTTCTGATTTTGCTAAAGCACCGAGCATCAACATAGTCCATTGAATCATTAGTTTTGATGTTAAATCTACTATTTCAAAAATAGATTTTCGCTTTTACTTATAGTATGATAATATATACATGATAATAATTATTTTCAATAGATATGTAAGTAAAAGTGAACGAAGAATGTAAAGTGTTGGTGACAAGAGATTTTAATCAAATAGAACTCTAAAGTGAATATAGCATGAACATATATTTTTGTCTTCCTTCTTCATTTGCTATCTATCGCTCCATATTATTTTTTCCTATTATTTTGTGTTCATTTTAATTTGAGAAAATTTTATGTTTGACATTTTCGAAGAGTTATGACTTTTCTGAAAGGTTGTGATTTTTTTCAAAGGGTTGTGCCTTTTCCGATGAGTTGTGACTTTTGCAAAAGGTTGTGATTTTTCCGATGAGCAGTGACTTTTATGAAAGGTCAACTTTTCTGATAAGGAACAATTAGCACCTATTAATACTACTATTTGTTAGCTATAAATAGAGGGTTTCCTCTCACTTTTAAACTACGATTTTTAAAGTTTTCTACTCTTCTACTTCTTAAAAAAAATCTCAGGGTTATTTGTAATAGTTGATTAAGTTCAAAATTCAATGAAATCCGAGGTACCACATAAGATGGAGTTGGTGAACAAATTGTAGCAAATCATTCATAAATTGACACTCGTATATTTTCTTACGATTTTTATGAGTTAACGGTGAGGAAATGTTGTGGGAAGACAATAATAATAATAAAATATGAATAAAGTCACATGATTTGGGTAAGATATTTCTTCTTTGGTTTTTTATTTTTTACCCGAGAAAATGGTCCAATACACCCTCAACCTATAACCGGATTCTCAACTACACACTTATATTTTATAGGGGTCCTATTACCCCTTAAACTATTTTAAAGTAGTATAAATGCACCCTTAAGTGCTGACATGGCACAGAGAGTGTGCTCACACTCTTGAAGGCATGTGAAAGTTGAAAAAACTGATAAAAAGATATTTTAAAAATATTTTGACTTTTTTTTTACTATATAATTTTTTACTTTTGTCTTTTATTTAATTTTCTCTCTCATCACTCAAAAAAATCACCCCACCTTACATGTTCTTCATCACCATTGTTGAACCACCACTAGCCCACTACCATAGCAGCCAATGTCTTCACCCATCTTTTAGTACTTTCTCATTATTTGTCACACTATTTACTCACAATTCTTAACATTGTA